ACGACCACGAAAACCTTTTACAAGTTAGAGAATGTGATCATGGCTGTTTGCGCAAGTTTTATTATATGTGTTGCTAAAAAATTGTTTTAAATTTATTAACTACTTAAGAAATTAAAGTGAACTTAAATAGAAAACAATAATAATAGTTTAAATAATTTGTGTAATGTTTTTATTTTTGCATTTTCTTAGTGGTTATTATTATCGGCAACAAAATTCATTAAGTCAAAGCAAAAAAAAAAAAAATGGTTTTAGGCGTTAAAATAGATGACTTTAAAGAGAAAAGTGAAAATATGTATCATCATCTGTTTGTAAAATACATTTGTATAATTATAATGTAACAAGTTTATATCAAGAGTTAAATTATACGATCGCGATTTGCTATCTCTGGTTAAATATTAGGTCTTTAAAATTTTAGTTCATGCAAAGCTGTGTACTTTGTTTATAAGGAGCAAACTATAAAAAGTTTGCTGGCGAAAAAGTTACACAAAATAAAACAAAAACAATAAACTTACGACTACAAAAGTAATAACAATTTAGTCACTAACTGCATTATAAAAGCAATAAAACTATAACAGTGTTATTACATTTATAAAGCACTTCTTACTTTTAAAGTTCATTCTTTGTTCAAACAACACTATTCCAAACATTTCCAAACATTTATTAAATTACACAATTCCAACACAATTCAAACATTTATTAAAAACACAATTCCAAACATTTATCAAATTAGAAAAGCATCAAGAAAAAGTAAAGCGGATATTCAAATATTAATAAAAATTTCAGGAAGTTTCACATATCACTTAAACAACGTTATAAAAAAGTACTTTATAAAAAAAATAGCATTATGAAAAACAATATGAATAAACGCTTTAATTTTAAAATCAACCAATAAAAAATTTTTATTGGTTAATTTTAAAATAAACGAGCGTTTTTATGGTCCATTAGTAACGTTTTTCATAATGCTAAACTTTTAATACGATACGTTTTCATAAAGTTGTTTGTCATGCTTTAATAAGTTACTTTAGTTTTAATATTATTTGAACATCTACTTTATTCTTTTAGATATTTTTCTACTTCAATTAAAATTTGGGAATACTAATGTTGCTTGAACAAAGAATGAATTTTAAAAGTTATAAGTGCGTTATAAAAATAATAACACTATTATAGTGTTATTACTTTTGTAATGCAGTTAGTGCCTAGACAGTTATTACTTTTGTAATCGTAAGTTTATTGTTTTATTTTTTATTTTTTCGCTAACATATTTAAGTTGATTCTCCCCTTAAAAACAAGGAACGCAGTTTTGTATAAACTGAAATTATGAATACTAGATATTTTTCCCGATTTTGCATTTTGCGTTCACTTAATTCAACCCTCGTTTTTACATTAAAATCATATTAATAAATTTTACAAACACATTCCAATTTGTATTTTTTCTATCCTCTTAAAAAAAAAATAAGAAAAGGAAAATCATTCTTTTTATTGTAGACTTCAAGCTGTTTTTTTTTTTGCTTCGCCTTATCTAATTTTTGTTGCTGAATGTAACTCTAAAGAAACAAAAATAAAAACAGTACACAAATTATTTAAATTATTAATTTGTTTTTATTTTTTTCTATTTTAATCTCTTTTTATTTTGTTAGTTATGTTTTTTTATTTTTGAAACTTTTTCAGCATTATTATAAAACTTGCAAACGGCCATGTTCACGTTTTTTAAAATAGTGTAATCGCGTGTGGTCATATGAGAAAAAAACTGCACGTCTTTCTTGGGAAGTCTTGATATATATATATATATATATATATATATATATATATATATATATATATATATATATATATATATATATATATATATATATATATATATATATATATATATATATATATATATATATATATATATATATATATACATATATATGTATATATATACATATATGTGTATATATACATATATTTATATATAGATAAAAATTAATGTATATAAATAAATAAACATATATACATATATATATATATATATATATATATATATATATATATATATATATATATAATATATATGTACATACATATAATACATGTATATATATACATATATATGTCTCTATAACCTTCGTCAAGTCGACACTTTTAATACGTCGACAGATTTCCTGTCGACTTTAGGTCTGAATGAATTTTAGTAATGATTAGTTCAATGGAAATTTAAAAAAAAAAATACCATTCTAATGTCTTAATTATACTCAAGAGATTTCTATGAAAAACATTAACAAAAAAAAAAAAACGCAGAAAACTCTAAACAATAACTTTTTTTAAAAGTGCGTATGTTTACTCGTGTTACATATACAATCTATAGGTCGATAGTTAAGAGATTGCATTTTTTGTTTGAAGTATAAAGATATATTTATTAAAATTTTTGTTTAAAATATAGATAAACTATTTAGTTAAAATTATAAACGACTAGTTTAAAAAAAAAATTAACATTTAGACATTATATAATATGTTA